AATTAATTTCTAATTTTTGTTCTTTTTCTGCCATTTCCTTAAATAATTATTTTTATTCTTCATTACCCCCCCGAATTTTTTGTCTTATTTCTCTTTTGTGTTAGGTTCCCAGATTATCCTCGCAACCGTCGCTCTCTGATCAACTTCATTCAAGCAAGACTGGCTTATATCTCACGTTTCCCCTTCTCTTCCTCTACGACCGGATGCCTTCCTTTCTTTATTCCTCCATACATTCCAGTCAATAGTTGCGTCGATCTTTTCATCGGCCCTATGTCATGCCAGCTGGCTAACCGCATTATGACTTGCCACTATCCACAGGCATCAAACTCAGATCCCATCAGCCTTCAGGGCCAATCGCCGCTTGTACGAGACCGGCAACCATCCAGAGTTCTGATTGCTTGGTCTCTTTTACCACACGAGCGCCGAATGTCAGTTGTGAATCTAACGATGCGCAGGCTCGCTTCAGCCTTACGGGCCACAGCTGGAATGGCGGCAATAGCACAGGCCGCAAACGATGCCATGAAGCCTAACTTGTCGGATGAGGTTTATTTTGGTGAAGAAGCTTGTGGATTGGATGAATGCCGTATGAATGCTGTTACTAGCGGACTTTCTAGCCGTGGTCTACCGTCGGGCACCAGACTGATTGGCCAAAATGAATCATTGAACGTCTCCGACCTAGCAGTCCGATTGCCTCTTGAAGCAGAGCCTATAAAAAACAAGGAGGCTATGCTTTGGCAGGTCAGATCATCCGCTCATGTGTACCTTTGATTACAGACACGCTAAACAATTTCTTTTTCACAGAACTTTAATTTAGCTGTATAAGCGAAGATAAGCGCACCTAAAGCAAAATATAAACTATAATTAGATTTCACAATGAGAATCTCGCACAAGATCATGATATTTTTTTGAGAGCAATGTTTTTATTATTATAAATAATCCCAAAGGATAATCTGGTCTTCCTAATATTGTAAAAGGCTTTTTTATTATCATTTTCGAGGTCCTTTAAGCTCAGGCATTTTGAGGCTCATTGGCTTCGTTTACATGCATTAGAAATCTGCTTGAACAATGGACCTCTAACTCATGGCGTTGGTGATTCATTGGAGCTCACATATTCTTATGGACACCCTTTTTAAATAACTATAGGATTTAAATCATATTTATGCCTAACAATTCACCATTTTTCAAATAAATTTATAATATTTTTGCTGCTATTATGTTCTGAAAATCTTGCATATCTGTATTTCAAAACCAAAATATAATAAACACTTAGCTAAATATGTATATTCTTGTGATAAATCAATAAATATCTTCATTAAATTATTAGTTAGTCGGCTTTATTATAAGAATTAATCAGAAATTTGTCAAATATTTGTTCATATACCAACTTTACTGATCGAGACCTGAGTGAATGCATTCTGTGCATAATCCTTTGTCATAGTAGCCATGATCATTTACAATATCATACTATGAATTTGATACATTCCTAAACGTTTCCCTGGCATCTTTATTGAGCCTTGCCGATTTTAGCAACAACCTCATTCAGTCAAAGACAGGTGAAGGTCATCCCTTCACCAGCCTTCTGCTGAACAGCTGCGGTATTACTCCATATTGGGTGCATCCTATATCCTCATATTTCTGCCTTCATCATCACAACATCTAACTTAATAATTTTAACCTACTTGAGAAAAGCTTCCTTTTGAGCTTATTTAGTGAGGCATATTCACACTCTCTACTGGTTCTCTCATCCATCCTATTATGCCGGAACGTTTATCCAACTTTCCTCTTTCATTATGCGATTAACTTCTTGCTATTTAGATTCTTCTCGTCTTCACTCAATCATTTTCACCATACCTGTGGTACGTGAGTCATCTATCTCTGGTTTATCCCTCGAAGACTTCTTCGTTGGGATTTCTCTTCTTTCTTTTTAATTACTTTTTCTACCCTGTCTTATTTTCGCTGATCCTGCAGTTTCTTGATCTCTTCCTAGTTTGCTTAAGCAATACTCAAGTTTTTTGCTGTTTTGCTTTTGTTCGTCCTCCTTTTCATTTGATATCTTTCAGTCACAGTGTTGATGGCTTCTAAACTCTTGCGTTTTCTTATATTGTACCATATTCCGCAAGTTTTTTTATTGCTTAGCGACATATGGCGACTGGTAGTCTCGAACCCCTGTTTATAAACGAAAAATAAGTAATGACGTCGATTGCTATGGCAAGTATAACTTTGCTTTATCCATAATATCACCACAGAATAACATTGATAAATACTTCCTTGAAATTAAACTCTGTCATGTGACCCGAGGGTACTCGTGGCAGTGTGGCTTATTGGTTTGCGGGTCGAGATTATACGCTACACTGTCATGGTTCGAGTTCCCCTTAGGGTGCTGCTGAGCCCTGTACGAGGTCGAAACTA